ATTTATATATATGTATATAATCTCTCTCTTTCTATATATATATATTTTTTTTTGAGTCAGTCTTCTAACACAAAGGATAATGGACAATGGGAGACAGAGTCTCTGCCCTGGAATTCACAGTAGGAAAAGAAGATTGGGCAGTTTTCATAGTGAATATTTTAGACGCACATTTAAGGCCTGATTGTTGAAGGTCTGATTGCATTGCAAGAGCACAGATATGCTTTATTATTTTAAAAATGAAACGCTATTAAGTGCCAAATGGGAACTCTAGGCTCCTTCTGTGAAAAAAAAATCATGATTTCAAATATAAATGATTGAATTACAGATTGATTCACTTTAATATCATTTATTTCATCTATATGTATGTAGTTTTATTTGCTGAACAATTGCAAAGTAAATTACTCCATTATGACAATTCATTCCCACTTTATGCCTCAGCATAAAGACATTCTCTTAAATGGCTGTTAAAGCATTTTAACAGTAATTGTGATTTCCTAATGTTTGCTATGACTAGTTTATTCACATTGGTTAACTTTCCCCAGAAAATGTTTTCATAGCTTTTTATTTTTGCACTGTGTTCTATTAAGGGCCACACTTTGCATCATTAGATGTCATTCAATCTTTTAGAAGTTTTTCCTTCTTTACTCCCCTTTTCTATACAATAGCTTATTGAGGACATCACACGGTTGTTCCTAGAGTACAAGGCATCTGGAATTATTTGTCTTTTGTTTTTCAGGGCTTTAAAATAAAAAGCTCTTCTTCTCTCTGGAAGTTAAATACAGATATTTTTGCAGAAATGCATCACAAAGTGTTTGCTGATTTACATGGTGTTCCATTGTAGCAATTGGCATGTGATGCTTGACTTTCGTATACTTAGTGATGCCTGTAGTAGGTTAAGGTAATTTTTCCATTGTACAGGTACTGTTTCTCCTTCAGGCTTAATGAGTAATCTATGAGCTATTCCTGGATGGTTATCTTTTTCACCATTAGCCTATTACCTAATAATGGCGTTAGCTACCATTGATATTTCTGATTTAAGTTAGTTGTATTTCTTGGGGATTTCAAATGGTGATTTGCTAATGCAGATGTCATCCTTGATGAGTGTGGAACTGAGCATTCAACTTTCTGCCATCTGTTGCTGCAGTTTGGTTGTCCTGATCTGAGATTATTATTGAAAAGGCAAGACAAAATAGTCATATGTTTCTTTTCACGAATTTTCATGAATTTAAAGAATTTATAACTTAATAATTTAAATGACATTTTTTTGGTGATTTTAATAGTAATGAACAATAAATTGTGCTTTTCTTAATTCTGTTTTTTTCTTTCTGACAATCCTAATGGATTTAGGAATTTGTGGCTGTGTTTCAATCAACAATGCTCTTGTTCTCTTTGCTTTTAAAATTGTTCTAAATTTGGCCTGTGAAAGCATTTTTAAATGGAAACAAAGAGTTGGAAGCCACATTAGAATCAGCTAACCCAAATTTCAAAGTTTTATAGTTTGGGAAACACAAGTTTGGAAGCTTTGGTACCTCATCTCATGTGTCTTAGCTGACTAAAAGCAGCACAAGAACTGTGGTCCAAGTCTTCTGAGGGTTTAGCTACTCCTCTAAGATATCTTACTCTCAATCCTTTACTAATGATATTAAGCAAAGAGAGAGAGAGAGAATGGCCCACATTTTGCAATCATACACTTTTTGTTTACTAAAAGTTACAGTCTAGTCTAGTGAGTGGCATATTATATGGATTCATTATCAGCTTCCTTGAGAAATGCTTTGAATGGAAACAAAGTCTCATTGTAGGCTGGTCATGAGATCTGTCAGATGTATGAGTTTGAGTCCTATAGTTTGTTATGTGGAAGTTCAATTTACTGTAATGTCACATTCAACTTATTCCCCAGAGTTTTGAAAACTTGGAATTCATCACTGTTGTAGAGAAGTAGTGATTTCACATACAAATGTGAATTGTGGGTTTCTCCAAAAGCCTTGCAGATCCCTAGCACAATTGGCCCCACAATGTGATATGGCAACAAGTGATTAGAATGGGAAAACTTTTTAGGTATGCATACTGTTTCCAGATCTGGGCCCTTTCCAAGTGTGTCTTTTAGATGCATATAATTGGATTTCTGGGAATGGGCTGCCTTTTTACCTAGCTTAGAAGCTTTTGAGATGCTAAATCTTGAGATACAAGTAAAATTCTAGGAAAGTTCTTGAGAAGAAATTCCAGTTTAAGGTAGTGTCAATATTGCAGACACACATAAGCAGCCAGAAATTGGGAAGCCCAGAGTTTTTCTGCTGCTACGACACGATCTTTAGTAACTTTATTTCGAAAGGGAAAAATCAATGACCAGATGTCAACTAGACATTTTCGAGGCTCCCGGAAAGATTGTTTGGAAACTATGGGTTTCCTTCCTGTCTTGAATTATGAACCTCATGTCAATTTCATGTAAGTTAACCTAAGGAAGAAATAATGATATGTATGTGGTGTGTGGGGCTCTGATTTTTCTTGATGAGTGTGCTGCCCAAGCAATCCATTCCCTATGGAGATTCTCACCTAAGTATTCTAATCTAACTAGTCTTAATATGAGTTAGAATCTTCATAGGAAATGGTAAATTAACAGGATTTTATAACCATAATTTTAAGGAAATGCCATTTTTATAACAGGGAAAACACTGAGTAAAGTTAGAGAAGGATGTTTCACTACTTAGGAGAAGGCTTCCTTGTGAGAGAAGATCTAATATGTCTAAAGGCCAGTTTAGATTGTGCTTCAAATATCTGTATTGTTTATCACCACCAGTAGTATTAGTAAATTGAGAATATAATGTTTGAATTTTTGTATCCGGTAGCCAAAGCGACTTAAATTTATTTGATGAAATAAAAATTGTTATTTTATTTTTATTGTTGTTTACATAGTTCAGAGGGCTGCACACCTGTGGGGACTCTGATTACTGAGAGGACAGTCAGGTATGGAGGAAGGTGGGTGGGACAAATGTTTCAAGTTTTTTTTCTTTTGTGTCCCCAGGGGAGCAGGGTGAACTGGTTACTACTTGCTGTCAAACTATGGTAGCACCCAGGGATGGGGGACAGTCCTTTGATGGCGCCTATGTTAGCACCCAGGGATGGGCATGGTCCTCCAATGGCACTATATTAGCACCCAGGGATGGGGGACAGTCCTTTGATGGCGCCTATGTTAGCACCCAGGGATGGGCATGGTCCTCCGATGGCACTATATTAGCACCCAGGGATGGGGGACAGTCCTTCAGTGGCGCCTTGGGGACCTTGATGAGATGAGTGTTCTGAGGGTGTTACTTGAGTGGTTTTAATAGTTCTGAGAAGTTGTTAGTTTGGTATCTCTGGAGTTGAGAAAATCTTTTCAAGGTCTGTTGGTTGAGTCCATCTTAGTGCATCCATAGACACAGACCCAGGTTTAGTGGTAAACCTTAGCCAGATGAATTGTCCAACCTGTTCTGCATTCCTTCCTCTGAGGAGGCAGTTGACGTTCGCTGCAGGGACCAGCTGGCTGTTATGTCCCCATGTGCATCTGGCCATGCTGTCCACTGCACAGGCATCAGCAACTGAGGAGTTCCAGTTCTAGAACACATCCTGTGATTTTTCTCATGGCCAAGGTCTGCTCCAGCAGTTGGCGTGTCTCCCAGGAAGCCAGGGTTTGAGTTTCCTATTGTTCATTCAGTAATTTGTATTTTTTGAAACATGGTAGTGGAGGTTTTTCTGCCCCACCTCTGCCTCCAGGGACATTCATCTACTATTCCTCCAGGGATTTGGGATTTTCTTCTTCCAAACCCATGCTAAGGGTATGAGAAATGGTCTCTGGCAGGTTAGACGAAGATTCGAAAGCATAAGTGGATCCATGTACCCTCTGCCCGTATTTCTGCAGACTCTGGCTGGGTTAAAACTTAGCACTCCCTGTGTTATCTCTAGCTCTTGCTTTTGTCACCTTACGGAGAAGTGTGTCTCTTGCATGTTGATATGTGGCCTCCCAAGTCCTCGCAGAACTGACTGAGGGGCTAGCTCCTCACAGTTAACACGTGCAGGGTCTACTTCAGTGAGTCTGAGGTAGTTGCTGTTCAAAATGCAGCTGTCCAGGCCTGGCTTTGTGGCTTAATGTTTTAAGCCATTGCCTTCAAAGGTGGCATCCTTATGAGCACCGATTCAAGTACCAAATGTCCTGTTTCTTATCCAGCTTCTTGCTGGTGTGCCTGGGAAAGCAGTGAAAGATGGCCCAAGTGCTTGGGTCTCTGCCACCCATGTGGGAGAGCTGGATGAAGCTCCTGTTTTCTGGTTTCCACCTGGCCTATGCCTGCATGCAGAGACAATTGGAAAATAAAACGGTGGAAGAAAATCTCTATCTCTGTCTTTGTGTAAATCTTTCTTCCAAGTAAATGAAATAAATCTTTTTAAAAAATGCAGCTCCCGGTTTCTTTATTTGAGGTTTCTCATGCAGGTGGGGTTCAAAGCAAACCCTTTGGGAGACCCTCCTGCGCAGCGTGCACTGTTCGTTGTTGCAAAGATTGGCAGGTGAATTTAAACTTTATTTATGATTAGTCCTCCTCTGAGAATGGCAACCATACTTCTTTCTTGTGTATAATAGGGATGGATTTATGATTTTTATGGAAACCAGGTGATGTTCTGCCTGGTGGGCTCGTCTCTCAAGTCAGACAAAACTCAGTGATTTTCATTTTAAGATTGCTTGCCTGAGGCAATGAAAAGAATTGAAACATGTGAGGGACTGTGTTCAGGGTCTTGTCAGGAGCTGGAAAGTTAAGCAGTTTAACCTCCTTAGATTGGTTTCATTTATGTGTATTCAGATTCTTGGGATAAAACCAGATTAAATTGGATTTTAAATATATGAATCTTTGTGAAGATTTTCAAAGTTTTTCAAACATTGTTCATGCAGATTTAAAGAAAAAAAATCTGGAAGATTAAACATGGTTTAATCTTGATCACTGTGTTAATTCTTTTTCCATATAATCATTGCCTCTTAGGGTGAAAAGTTTGGACCATTTGCAGGAGAGAAGAGAATGCCCGAAGATTTGGATGAAAATATGGATTACAGGCTCATGTGGGAGGTAGGATTGGGACTGTTAGTTGAAGCATTAAAAATATGCTCTTATTTATGCTATTTAATATGTTTTAAGGATTTGATCATTGAAATCAGCTCCAGTGGAGTATTTATGTTTTGAAATGTTTTAATTTTTAAGAACCTGAACAACATGAAAGTATACCATTTTTAAAACAGGATGTTGAAATATCTTAGTTAACAAGCTCTTTTTTTTATTATTTGGAGTATAGAACTAATTATTGAATGAGACTTTCCATATATATGGATGTTTGAATTTTAAAGTAAGAATTCCCAAGACTTAGAATTGAGTTTTATCAATGAAACTTCACTTCAACTTATTTTTCCCTTGAAGTTCTGATTGTATGGAACCAATTCTGAGTTCCCGGAGTTGGGCTTATAGTGCTAGTGGTTCCGGTGGACCAGACCTGGATTGCCCTTTCCCATCAAAGAGCTTGGAGGCACTAGTCAGGTCACACCTGCTCTGTGTGTGTGTGTGTGAGAGAGAGAGAGAGAGAGAAACACCTCCATTAGCTGAGGGCATGACAGCAGTGACAGCAGGGAAGAGTGCCTCCTGGCATCCAAGTCAGTGTGGTTTTCAGCAGAGCAGTTTAGAGCCTGCAGGTGGCCCATGTTTCAGAGCACTCACTGACCAGCACCTCTTTATTCTTGAACTGGCCAGCAGGTCTTGAGCTCTGTGTGCAGAATGACTGAGACTTGTCTGTCTTTCATACTTCTTGATAGCCTCAGGTTTTTCCTTTAACATTACTTATTTTATCTCTTTGAAAGGCAGAAAGAAAAGAGAGAGATTGGGAGAGACAGAGAAAGCTGTATCTTGTACCTGCTGGTTCATTCCCCAATGTGCACAAAGACGGAGCTTGTCCAGGCTGAGCCAAGAGCCAAGGGCTCAGTTCAGGTTTCCCAGATAGGTGATGGGACCCAGGTACTTGAACACCACTGCTTAGGATGTGAAATATTAGGAAACTGGACTCAGAAGCAGTTTACACTTGAACTGGGGTTCTTCTGTGTGGGATGTGAGTGTCCCAAAGTGGTAACCTAACCATTGCACCAAATATTCATTCCTAAAATGCCTAGTTTTAAATTTTCTTCTTAAAATTAAATATATTAACAGAATTCTGGATTTCTCAGAGCCCAGATCAGGTGTAGAGTTTGGGGCTGGGATCGCATCTGACTGTAATTGCCTCTCATTGACTGGTGAAATGGGTTCTTTGTTGCATTCTCTTCTTCCCTTAACTATTGCCTGCTCTGCCTGGTGTTTTGGGGCTGAGCTAGCCTTTTCTTCACCCTCTGCTCCCTCAGATTCTCTCAAAGGCCAAAATCCATTTAAATCCTGTTGGTAACACTCTCAGTAATCCTGTGTTTTAAAATCTCCAAGATCTTCCCTTTTTGTAGTAATTTTTCAGGTATGTCATGCCACAGTATAAATTCCTTGTTTCCAGCACTGGCATAAGGCTTCCAACACATCTTTTGTGATGTGGCACCTGCAATTTAGTCACCTGAAGAATGCCGCCTTCTGTGTGTTCTTCTTGCCACCTGCTGTGGCCGTTATGCAGGTGTTCTATAGCAGCTGCTGGGGAATCCCTTATCTTATTTCTCCAGGCAGCTCAGCCCTGTTGGCTGTGCCTGTTCTCCACCTTTTTCAAAGTGGTCCTCTGGCAATGTAGAAATTGGCCTGGTCAGTTCTGAGTGAATGGTGTCATCTTGAGTAGGTCATTCAGTCTTCAACTTTGCACCTACTTTGAGATCACCTGGATATCTGTCTTCTCTCTCTCTCTTTCATGCTGTGACTGTGAATGCCTCATACTGTGAACAGTTTATTGACACTGCTGGGTGTTCAGTAGTGTGATGCATTGTAAGTGGAGCAAAACGATATGTCACAGTCCAGTGATGCTGGGTTAGGCCCCTTTGCACAAAAACCTCTTATTGTATAGCAGTTAATGCAGAGTTCCAAAGAAGCAGATGAAAACTGGAGATTCAAATGAAATGTCCTAATTCTGAGTGACATTTTTATAGGAAAATTCAAATGATTTTACTTTGATATAGATCAATAACCTCCTATTATATTATCTTTAACTCATGTGATAAGTAATTTATCTTTTGGAAGGAAAATTGGTAAAACAAATGAAACACATAGACCATAAGGTCTCTTTGTTGGAGCTGCAGATGTAAAAGTGCAAAGCAAAAGAATACTGTGAAAACAATCTTTCTTATTTCACGAGCCTAATAATAATAAAATGTTTTACACTGATTTGTTTTCCTAAATCCATACCCTTTAGGATTGATGAAAAATTATTGTTATTATTATTACATCTAAAGACAGCTATGTTATGAGAACAGATGAGAACAGTTAGTTATTGTCATCTATTAAATAGCTATGTATTAAAAAATGCAGCATATCAAATTTTCTTAATTTTGTTTATTATGTCATTAGAAAATATTTTATTCTTTTGGATAAAACATATGCAAAATATAACAATCAAAATGTATATTTTTTAAAAAATAATTATTATTTTCTTCTTTTTTGATTTATTTATTTTTGTTGGAAAGTCAGATATCCATGAGAAGGAGAGACAGAGAGGAAGATATTCCATCCAATGATTCACTCCCCAAGTGGTTGCAATGGCTGCAGTTGAACCAATCCTAAGCCAGGAGCCAGGAGCGCTCCCACGTGGGTTCAGGGTCCCACGGCTTTGGGCTGTCCTCTACTGCTTTCCCAGGCCACAAGTAGGGAGCTGGATGGGAAGCAGGACCACTGGGATTATAACTGGCGCCCATATGGGATCCCGGGTGTGCAAGGATGGGGCTATGCCAGGTTGAAGCCAGGATCTTGGGACTCCATGCCATCACTCATGTGGGTAGCCATCGCTCACGTGGGTAGCCATCGCTCACGTGGGTAGCTAGGGCTCAAGCAGTTTTCCAGGCACATTAGAGAAAGTGGGATCCCAAGTGGAGCAGCTAAAACTTGAACCTGTGTCCCTTAGGGATGCTGGCATTACAAGCAGTAGCTTTACCCACTCTACCACAGCACTGGCCCTGACAGCTTATATTTTTGTTTTTGTTTTTTAATTGGTGCAGTCACTTTTTAGAAACACTTTTGTGATTATCAATGTGCTTTTACTATGCTTACAAACATGAATGAATTTCAAAAACATGGCATACAGTGAAGTAGCTGGAGACAAAGGAGTATGATTGATTGCATATACAGTTCCCAAAGAGGTAAAGCTAATCTAGGAGATTGTAAATCTGGGTTGTGTTTGCCTTGTTGTGAGGGCAGTGATTACAAGTGGGAACCTGGGAATGCTTTCGGGGTGGTTTTTTGATCTGTGTACTAGTTTACTTAGAGTGTTTATTTTATGGTAATATATTGCACTGTATCTTTTAAGTTTCTGCACCTTTCTGTGATTATGACACTTCCACAGAACATTGCCCTACAAAAATGAATCGGAACAGTGAGATGCAAGGCCCTGAGTTCTGCTGTAGCTGAGCTGTCAGTTTGACTTGGAGCCAGCATGTCAAGAACACTTGGAATACAATACCAGATTGCAGCCCAGATGGCAATGAATGTGGTCTGTTGAATGTAAACAGGATGGAAAGCAAGCCAGGGAGGCTATCAAGTGTAGTATGACTAGGGGTTAGTAAGTGGAAGGGGCAATAGTAGTGGGTAGGATTAGAGAGATCGTTGTGGGTCAGATCTGGAGATGTACTCTGATGGCAAGAGGAAATCATTGATGGGTATAAGCAAGACAATGAAGACACACTGATGCCTTGAGAAGGTCACTGTGTCTGCCTTGTGGAGAACAGGTTGTAGGAAGGCATTAACAGGCAGGGAGACCAGTCGAGAGACTGTTGATGTGTGTGATTTCAGGGTGACCTGGACGTGGGCTTCAGTGATGCAGAGAAATGATTGGCTGCTGGTAGTGTGTTGTATGTAGGTCACACACTAGGAAGGGCTTGCTGACGGCTTGACTCTTGAAAGAGAGGAGTCAAGTATGGCTTTTAAATATCCTTCCTGAACCATATACATCCTAGGTGGTGATGTTTCTGAGAGGGCAGTTGGAGACTGAGGTTGAGAGAAATGGAAGGATGGAGCGTGTGCCACATTATAGACTGCTGGAGGGAATCTGGGCTTTGCTATTGCCTTATTGTTATTGCACAGCATCATTGAATAACTTCTATTTCATATTTAATATTCAAATAATTCTTGCTTAATAATATATTGACTGTGTTAACTTTTTAATCATTGCTATTAGAAAACATGTGAGTTGACAGTTAGAAGCAGAAACGACTTGCTGACTCCTTTAGCCACTTACTAGCTTGGGTTTGCCTACTTGGCAAACATTTTGCTTTTATGTTTCTTGAAGATGCAGATTTGACTGAAAGACAGTTTTTAAAGGCGCTCATGGGTTGATTATTAAACTAGACATTTTGTTTACATGTTTTTTTTTCTTTTTCTTTGCAGTTATTTGGTGATTGCAGCTGCTCTGTTGTTGGGAACTTGACTGAGTACCAGGTTTCCAATGTGTTTTAGTTTTGGGAAAAAATGTTTTCAATTGTTGAAAATCTTTTATTTTTCTTTGTTGTTTATGGAAGTCCTTTTAGGTGTTTGGAACAAAAACTTTTCTTCTCCAAATGTTTTTCTTTTACAGATGATAACGTTTTGTGTTCGTTCCAAATGGAACCATTTAATGTAGACATTAGTGGAAAAATACCACCTAAGAAGCCCTCTAGAAGGATGCCTGGACTCCAAAAACAAATGTCATCATCCGTTCTTTCTGATGCTAGCTCTCCAGTTAGGGAAAAAACAAAGCAAGCAAATGTGACTTTGTGACTTGTCTTCTGGAAGTTCTGCCTTTTGTGTGTGTGTGTGTGTGTGTGTGTGTGACTGTTCTTTATCTCTTGTAGAGTGCTTCCTGTATAACTGTGTCAGCCAAGCCTAAGGTATGATTAGCAGAGTGCTAGGAATTGGTCAGATAGTTGGACTTAAAAACA